ATTTAACTTTATAATGCTATAACTTATTGAAAAGTTTATGGATCCACACAATTTTTTTATGACAAATAATATTTTTTAATAAACCCTTTTTCATTCGACATACTTTACCTTAATCAGGATATTAATAAGGAACCAGCAGATCAAGTAGCTTTAGGAATAAAACACCAATTTTTTTAAAATTAAACACTATCTAAAGATTTGCATCGAAGCGTTTATTTTTGATAGTGATTTTAATCACTGTCAGATATCATTTACTTGATCCAACTATGCCACGTCACCACTGTGCCGCGACCCCCCTGTGCTGGGTTTTTTTATTTTAACTTCCGTTTTTGCATAGTAAAACTCTTAGTAGTTAAATGCTTCCTGTATTTAGGTTTTTCATTGGATTTTCAAAAAAAGGATACCAAAAAAAAGCAATTAATTATTTATTAAAAATATTATATAAAATATTCAAATATTATCAACTTAACATATAGATTTAAATAATAAAATACTAACTCATCTTCTCATAATAATTTTATTAAGTTTTTTAAAACGTATTTAATAGTTTCTTACTTGTAAAGGCCATTTTATTTTTTAAAACTAGAATAAATGATAAAAAACATTTTTATAAAGAAAGTTTTTTATAAACTTTTTGATATTGTGCATCTTTAATTAAGGTACACGAGGATACCTTATACCTTTTTATAAAACACGAACTAAGTTAGCTACAAAAATGTTTCTGATGGTACAAATTTCCCTCTTATACATGTGTATATGGATGATTTTTGTAAGAAAGTGGTCAGAGTAAATTTTGCCACTTTTAGTTTATTTATTAATATTATTGGAAAAATCTGCTATGAAAAAATAAACTGAAAGGCAAATAATAATTTACTTATGTAAATTAAATTATTTGTTTATTTACTTCTGTTGACCTACAAATATGCACTTTTTTTAATTCAGTCTTATATATTTATTAACTATGCGTCTGTTACATACTTCACATAACGCAAGTTTAACAAAAGTTGAGTTTAGATTGTTAATAACTACTAAAAAAGAAGTCAAAAATATATTATTGACAATATATTTTCTTA